GCTCTACATCTCTAATCTGACCAGTAGCGAAGTGGATGAAGCGGCTGAGTGGATATGACCCTTGCGTAGGGCGCCTGGGGACCAAAAAAGTGGTTGTGCCCAGGAAAAGTGAACGCCGCGGCTTAGCGGCGAACTTGTGCAATTTCGTTCAGCCGTTCCGTGGATAAAATGGAAATTTAACTATCATTTGTATCACTTCCATATGTTTAGGTCAGTAAAGGCGATGACTGGCCCACGGTGTTTCTTCAAGAAATCAATATATTTGATCCGAAGTTCATGAGCATATCATTGTTTGATATAGTTCTTTGCGCAGTTTTACGTATGGTGAGCATTTTTCCATACTCTTTTTTTTTCAAACTTTCTTCTGTTTGGAATATGTGCCTTTTCTTCTTGGCTTTTTATCATAGTTTGCACTTTTTTCGAACTTTTTTCGCAGCCTTATGTTTACATGCTGTGGAATGACATTTTTTACTGATGCAATTTCAAAATATTCATTTTTTTGCTTTTCAGGTTGTTCTTATTCTTTTATACGCCGTCTTCGTTGTTCGACATTGGCTGCCGGTTGCCATCACGACTTCGCTTTCTACTGTGTACATAGTTATAAAAGTGCGTTCCCATAGTCACGTCTTTTCATGATTTTCAAACCTTCGTTTACTTTCTTTTTTTGACAAATTTTTGCAGATTCTCTTCTTCTTTTCTCATAAACAAGGCGGTCTTCCACAATATCTACTGGTGTTGGCGTCTTTCTCTATTGCATGGTTCGAACTCTGGCTTATGCCCTTCAAGGTGTTGCCGGGCGAGCGACGATGTAGGTTTGCGTCATTCGCATAATCTTTTAGCGCTTATGCTGCAGTGGAGGGCTTGTATGTGGCACTTATGTTTGTCAATTGCAGGCGAACATAACGACTCATTTCGTGACGATTTGTCCGTCTCGGTGCGTGGCAACTCATTGAGAGAGCCACGTCCGAATCAAACTCCTCGCTATATCTCGGAGGATGAATTTCGAAGCGCCATGGAGTTTTCTTCTGGTAAGCGTTTGCACTGATGACATCTTTTTCAATAATCTTTGCGATGTGCCTTGAAAAATCTTGAATTTGCAATCATTCTCGAATACTTGTATCCAAAAAATCCAATGTCACATGTAACAGTCGGAATATATGTCACCCACGATTTTTTATCAGTAACGTTTTGTGCCCCGGCCAGACTTCGCTCAAAAGCGCTCAAAGGCGCCCGAAAGCGCTTAAATTTCTTTAATCTCTCTTTGAAATCTCGTTTGAGGAGAGGAGAGAAAATGGAGAGAGGTTCGACAAGTTTGAGCTTGATCACCTTTGGGTGCTTTTGAGCGTTTTCGAGCGAAGTCTGGCCAGTGCCTTAGACTTGTTTTTTTCTTTCTTCATTCCTTGTTATAGTTTCTCTCTTTCTTATATTTGTATGCTTTTGGAGCCTGCTTCTTCCAGCACAAAGCTTAGCATTGCATGCTTTCGCGCATTCAACTACTTGCCATAAAAATGTACGAAAATATAACGCGTGTCTAATTTGTTTCTTTTTGTTTCTTTTCTGCATATCAGTGGCAACTGTAGAATTCGCAAGTGAGAGGTAAGCTTGCTAGGGATATGAGTTTGGTTGAAATTTTGAGTGGTTGCCTTTGAGTTGTTTCGGTAGAATACAAACTAGAACACAGCTTTTCATTCCCACTTTTTTTCATCAGTTTAACTTTTTTAAGTTATAAGCATCCGTTTGTTAGCAGTA